CTTTTCAATTTCCAAAGAGGATGCCAATCCTAGAATGGTGCCCAAGAGTATTCAAGATGTGTTGAGAGACTTTGAGGATGTAATGCCAGATGAATTACCGAAAGAGTTGCCCCCTAGACGGTCGGTAGACCATGAGATTGAATTAATTTCGGGAGTAAAACCCCCTGCGAAGTGCCCATATCGGATGAGTCCTCCAGAGTTGGCAGAGTTGAGGAAACAATTGGATGAGTTGCTCCAAGCTGGATTTATTCGACCCTCGAAGTCACCTTTCGGGGCGCCTGTGTTATTCCATAAAAAAAACATGATGGGAGTTTGAGATTATGCGTAGACTATCGAGCATTGAACAAAGTGACCGTCAGGAATTAATACCCCCATTCCGTTGATTGCAGATTTGTTCGACCAGCTGAGTAATGCTAAGTATTTCACGAAGTTGGATCTCAGGTCGGGATACCATCAAGTGAGAGTGGCTGAAGGGGATGAGCCAAAAACGACATGTGTAACTCGGTATGGGGCATTTGAGTTTCTGGTTATGCCTTTTGGACTAACCAATGCTCCCGCTACTTTTTGTACTTTGATATAATGATCTTTAGCACTTCTATGGAAGAGCACCAGGAGCATCTTCGATTGGTGCTGACGAGATTGCGGGAAAATCAGTTATTCGTGAAGAAGGAGAAATGTGCCTTCGCCCAAACACAAGTCCAGTTTTTGGGCCACATCATTGAGAAAGGGCGCATTCGTATGGATAAGGAGAAGGTGAAGGCTATACAGGAGTGGCCGACCCCACAAAATGTTAGTGAGCTTAGATCTTTCCTCGGTTTGGCTAATTATTATAGACGATTTGTGGAAGGCTATTCTCGTAGAGTAAAATCACTCACTGATAAGCTGAATGAAACTGAAGCGAGGTATACGGCTCCCGAGAAAGAACTTCTAGCAGTAATTCATTGTTTGAGGATTTGGAGGCATTATTTGTTGGATTCCAAATTTGTGGTAAAGACTGATAATACAGCAGCTAGCCACTTCTTGACACAACCAAAATTGACAGCAAAGCAAGCTAGATGGCAGGAGTTCCTGGCCGAGTTTGACTTTAGCTTTGAACATAAGGCGGGAAAAAGAATCAGGTCGCTGATGCATTAAGTCGTAGGGCAGATTTGGTAGCACTCCGATGTGTGGCTCCTATATCTGCTAGTAGAGTGTCCAATGAAATTCGTCAGCTCAATGTGAACTTTTCCAAGAAAGATCCGCAAGTGATGGCCCTCATGGAGATGGTTAAGAAGGGTATTTCAAAATGGTTTTGGATAGAAAATGGATTATTGATGACAAAGGGGCCACGAATGTTTGTTCCTCGAGCTGGAAATCTACGACAGAAGCTGTTGAAGGAATGTCATGATACCCCATGGGCCGGGCATCCCGGTTGGAGGCGTACTGTTGCTTTGTTGGGACAAGGGTATTATTGGCCTCAAATGCGCCAAGATGTGATGGATTACACCAGGACATGTCTTATCTGTCAACAAGACAAGGTAGATCGACAGAGGACTGCCGGGTTGCTCGAGCCACTACCCGTGCCCGCCCGACCTTGGGAGAGTATCTCCTTGGATTTTATATCACGCTTGCCTCGAGTAGGAGATCTTGGATCAATTTTGGTGGTAGTGGACAGGTTCTCGAAGTACACCACTTTTATACCAGCATCAAAGTATTGTTCGGCGGAAGAGACTACTAAGTTGGTGTTCAAACATGTGGTGAAATATTGGGGCATTCCTCAGAGCATAGTCAGTGACCGAGATGGAAGATTTATTGGGAAATTTTGGAAGGGATTGTTCCAATTAGTGGGGACCCAACTCAACTTTTTATCGAGTTACCACCCTCAAACAGATGGACAGACTGAGCGATTTAATGGACTTTTGGAGGAGTATCTGAGGCACTTTATTCAGGCCAATCAGAAGAACTGGCCTCCATTATTGGATGTGGCGCAATTATGTTTTAATTCACAAAAGAGTTCATATACTAATAAAAGCCCTTTTGAACTAGTGACAGGTCAACAGCCAAGACTTCCTCACACTGTGGATGAGATCTCTCAAGGTAGATGCCCTCGTGCCTCAAATTTTGTGGGGGAGTGGAAACAGAATATGGAGATTGCCAAGGCTTACTTGGAGAAAACAGCGAAGCATATGAAGAAATGCGCAGATCGTAACAGACGAGACCTACATTTTCAGGTTAGAGATTTGGTGCTAGTCAAGTTGATGCCGGAACAACTTAGATTTTTGCGCCAGAGGGATCGTCGCTTGGTGCGTAAGTACGAGGGTCCGGTCTCAATAGTAGCAAATGTGGGGAATGCTTCGTATAAAGTTAACCCTCCTACTTGGATGAGAGTTCACCCAGTCTTCCATGTGAGCAATTTGAAGCCGTTTCACACCGATCCCAATATCGATAATCAGAGTATGCATGCCAGGGAGTCAATCGGCACACGACCACCCTCACAGCGTCATGTTGACGAGATTTTGGCAGGGAGAATTGTTAAGGTGGGTGGAAAGCAAAGACGGGAGTATCTAGTCAAGTGGGGAGGCTTTGATCATGAAGAAAACACTTGGGAAAGAGAGTATGATCTCAGGGCATTCAAGCAAAAGATTGAAGAGTTTCAGGCCATGCAGTCGACGAGGACGTCGATAAATTAGGTGGGGGAGATTGTCGTGACCGTCCCTTTTATGGGGCCACAACCGGGTAGGTACGCCAAGGCTAACCATGTATAGGGCCTAGTGGCAGGCAGGGTAGAATAAGCTTGTCCTCTTTTCAAGCATTTCAATGTTTTAGGTATGGAGTGGGGGTATGACTTACTGTCCCCTGTTCGAGCATTTCAACGTCTATAGGTAACATTTCTGTTATTTTGTTTTCGCATATATGTAGGGGGTGGACAGCCGGCAGAGTTTGGGCTGATCCACAGGTAAAGGTACGTGTCTTGTGAACACCATCGAGGGCCGCCCCTACGGCCTAATCGATGGTGTGGGTGAGTCTTCTGTAACCCGATGTTTCTTTTATTAATAAAACATTTTTCTCTCGGAGAAGTCCGGGGGTTGAGGTGTGCATCCGCTATGCCCCATGGGCTCGGATTATTGGTCGAAGGACCATGCGGCTATAAAGATCTAATGCGATGCTTGTTTATGTTTGATCAGATCTACGAGATTAAGGCTGACTTGGTTGGGAAGTGTCCCTTTCGAGTGCCGCACGGATTAGCAACCGAACTAACTAGGCTAAGTCCGTGACACATGGCACATGCAATCTCTTGTAGCTCGCCGGAAAGGCATGGCGACCTACGACCAACACTGTGGATTTCACCCTATTTGAGCAATTAATCTGGGGAGTGCATTATCTCATGAATTAATTTTTTCCAGAACATTATCTAAAAAGTTTTGCCCATGACCCTTTATTATTAACTTTTTAATGATTCACGTTCCACACGTTTCACTTTATATTTTTTTAATTATCGATAGTGATATTCATTTATAATAATATCTTTTTGATTTTTTAATCGAACAATTTCAAAAGCTGAATCTTGTTGTATCCCAAGAGTGTTGAGGAAAAATTATTTGATGGATCTGACTCATTACGTCATTCATGATCCCAATCAATAAGATTACGTGTAGGAAATAAGTAAATATTCACCTTGAAAAAAAAATATGAATGAACTTTATTAGTTGAGACTACATATGACGTGATAAATCGGATCTATAGAATAAATTTTCCAATGGCAAATGTCTCCAACCACGTGAAGCAATTTAGTCCACATAAATGCTGTTCACATTATAACGAGAGGATGGCAATTTCAACTGCTAACCAATACAAACTAAATTATGTTACATGCAGGCCTCAAAGCATGGTTTTCAAAACCGGACCGGTTATCGATTCATTGGTTCAATCGGTTCGATCGGTTCAGACGTCGTCATAATTATTTAAAAATTAAATAAAAATACCAAAAATATTTAATAAAAAGTAATTTTTTATATCACAAGTTATATTCAAAGTAAATCATAACATATATAAGTTAAAAACCATAAAATGAAGTGAAACAAAATGATTCAAATTAACTACAACATAATATTTAAGGTAAAACATATTAAATAATAAATATAATTATATAACTATAATTAAAAAATAAATTTGAGGTTAAAAAAATCATAACAAAATGATATTGTTTGGTTTTTTTTTAAAAAAAACAATCTCACATGGCTAAGAAACATAGAAGAGCATCCCAAAAGTCTAAAGAGTAAAAATATGAGAACAAAACAATCTCACATTGCTAAGAAACATAGAAGCGCATCACAACTAACTTTTATAAATAATAGAGGTAATTTGACATTCAAAATCATGGAGCCTTTTGGTGAGCATTGAGTGAACTATTCTTTCACTTCAATCAAGCTCGAATTTTAGGCTTCAATCGAGCTTCTAATTTTTTTTTGAATTCAAGCCATTTTGAGTTCAAGTTTCAATATTATATTTTGAGTTTGAGTTGAACTTGATAATTTTTAGCTTGTGAGTTTGAGTTGAGTTGAGCTTACTTTTAAAGTTTTCAAGTTCGAGTCGAGCTCAGCAATACTCGAGTTCGAATTGGCTCGTTTAACAAACGACGTTGTTTGGTTTAATTTTTTTTTTTAAAAAACAAAAATCCCGGTTTTTTCCGGTTTTCAGCCGGCCCGGTTCGAGCGGTTCAGCGGTTCTGGCCGGTTCACTAATAGCTGTTCAACCGGTTTAGATTGAACCGGACTAAGCAACGGTTTTCGATTGAACCGGCCGGTCCGGTCCGGTTTTCAAAACAGAGCCTCAAAGTGGTGAAAAATAATTTTAACCCCCAACTTGCTAATTAAATATTCATACTCTGCTGCCGTTAATGCCATACTTTGGTATTCCTTCACCGTTGACGATCTCAGCATTCTATTTTTTTTTGATTTCCAAGCTTTATACAGTAACATGTCACAGATCTTCTCGCCATGGGACACGAAGCTCAATCCGAATCACAAAGCGCAAGTAACTGACATTTACTTGATGCATCCAGCAGTATTCCCTTGGCCAAGATTATATTTTATGTATCAAACCACTGCCAAGGCTCTATCAAGGTGGGATTGCATGGGGTGGATTAGCCAAATAAATATTTTAGGGATATGAAGATAAATGATAAGAAATTGAGACTTAAAAATTTTAAGTGGTTCGACTTCTCAACTTAGTTCACATTCACCACCTTACCTCCACACTAAAGATTTTCTAACAAATTTCCTAAATTTGTTCTTTCTTTTTCTAGGCTCAAGAGAAACCTTTACAAATCCATATATTCTCAACGACTAAGATAAAACTACTCATCTTTTACAAAAGGATAAATAAAAATAAACAAGAAACCTCTTAAAAGAAGGTGTTTACAATTTAAACTCGCTAAAACACACTATTTACAAGGGAAAAAAATAAAGAATAAAGAATGAAATCTTTTCTCTTGATGATCAATGTTTGGATAGGTGTTGTGTAAACTTCTTCAAGTGTCTGCAATTTGTTTTTATATATTGGAAAGTGTTTGTAGTCGTCGGGATGTTTTGGAGTCATTGGGGATTATTAATTTTTTGCAAAAACAAACTGCCCATAATATGTAGTATTGGAACTCAGCTGATGAGTATTGATATTGCCTTTAAAATACTAGTCGTTTTTTACCATTACGATGAGTGAGTATCGATACTGGGGTTATATGACTACTCCTTTGAGTATTGATACCATTTTTTCATGCTAGAATCTGAACACATTTGAAAACATTAGGCAGTGTTGGTACTATGATGAGAGTATCATACCTCTATTGTCTTTGGTATCGATTCTACAAGAACAATATAGTATTGTTCATGTGATATCGATACTGTAAGAACATTATCAGTATTGTTCATGCGATATCAATACTGTAAGAACAATATCGATACTGCTTACACATGAAAACTTTTTTGTGTTCAAATTCAAGTTTTATGGACTTTTAATTATTTATTTTTTTGAAAACTTTGAATAAATTTAATTAAGTCCAAAAAAATTTTTCCCTTAAATTTGTTATATCAGAACAAGTTCAATAGATATTGTTAAAATTTATTTTTAAATTAATTTCTATTAATAAAAATTGTTATTCAAAATAATAATAATAATATAAATTTTTTTGGTGATTATAAGATAATAGTTATTCAAAAAAAATTTGATAATGAACACATACATACCCATGAAACTTTTAGAAAAAAGTCACATTATCTTTTACTATTAATATCACTTGATGGATACTAATATGGATTTAAATATAAATAGCATAAGATAGGATGACCTCCTCGTAGTTATTATATTTCAAAAATTATATTGGGTAAACTATTTAAATGACCACTTAACTATGGACTTAGTATCGATATGACCACCATACTTTTAATTTTTGTAATAATGGCCATTTAACTATTGAAGTGGTTTTAATGTATTCACTTGTCATTAAAAACATACAATGTAGCTGATGTGGTTGCTATTGACTAACGACGAGTCGGAGGTCCACATCAGCTACACCATCTGTTTTTAACTACATGGCTACATTGAAACCAATTTTGGGAGTGTTACAACAAAATCAAAGTTTGTCCATGGTTTTAGAAAATGGGTTTTGTGGGGGTTTAAGGAGCTTGGAAGATTCAATCCATTTATAGTGATCTTTAACATTAGGAAGTGTTTCTAAACTCTTATTAATCTTTAAATTCAATTAGTAATTTATTCTTTGATTTTAGCTTAGTGAAGGAGGTTGAAGAAAACTCTAAAGCAAGGGGAAAGAGAAACTCAATTTGGGTTGATCATTGGACACTCCTAATAGCTTAGAATCATCAAGTAACTCACTTTTAACTCAACTGTACCACATGTAGCTCATTTAGGTGAGATTTAGTAGGTTGCATAAGCCTGAAGCATGTTCATGGTTGATTGCATTGTTCGGATGTTTCAGCATGTTATAAGATTTTTTTATGATCGCTATTAACAGATAAAACACTTAAACATTAATTGGGGACCTCACTAGGGCTTTTTGGAGTAGAAAGATAAGAGTTTTTTGTGTCAAAACATAGCACTTCATAGGGGTATCGATACTGTTCATCACTCAGGAAAAAATTAGACAAGTTTCAAAGGGTAGTATCGATACTCATCCAAGGAGTATCGATATTAGGTTCTCAATTTTGATACTGACCAAGTTAGTATTGAGACCACTAATCCAGTGTATAATTTTGGTACCGATTACCAAGGCAGAGGTATCAATACTCCAAGGCTAGTATTGATACTGGGGGTATTTTTTTCAACATTGAACCCAAATTTGGTATAGATACTCAGGCCAATATCGATGCCCCAATGCCAGAGTATCGATATTCAGCCAGAAGTATCAATACTACCTTACCCAAATAACCTATATCAATCAATAGGTATCGATACTAAGGGTTTAGTGTCGATACTAAAGGGTCAGTATCTATATTGGCAGACAATTTTAGATAAATAATCTTATTTATTTGAATCTCAATTTCTAAAAATATTAACTTTGAATCTCAAAACCCTAACCTATGAACAAATCGAGTGACATTTAAATAAATAAAGTTATGTAGTCTAGATTTTACACTGTAGCAAATAATATATTTATAATTTGATGAAGTTTTTATATCAAAAAAATTATATGTATTAGTTTTGTTTAAATATTACACGTATATCAAATAATGTTACTAGTATTCTGAAACATGTGTAGGAAGATTGGGTCTTGTGCCGAGTGTTCCATAAAACAAGAGAAACCATTACGACCACCAACCCTAGAAGCATGGTAATCTGTTCCGATGATACAAGCTCTTCTTCTCTCCCACCGTTGATGGATCCTTACATAATCTCCGATCGAACTCAACCGACCTCCGACAAGCAACTGCCCTGCCTCTCCACCATGTTGTCGGCACAAGGCCAAAGCTTCAACGATATGCAACTGCTTAGCATGTCGACCAAAACCCTAACATCGTCATCAACAACAACGAATAACCTCAGCTGTCACTAACAACATCACTTCTTGTTTAGATTCTTTCCCCGGTGACAAGACGGTCATAAAAACTGTGTTGAACAATCTTTGCCAGTTGGATGCTTAACGTCGAGGGATCGACGAGCTTCGATGTAGTTATTCAGACCAGAGCAACTTGTCTGAAATGTGGGATTGCCCAACTTTTGGGATTAACTGATTATTTATAAATTCATGGTAATTAAGGTTTAGGGTTTCTTATAGTTTGTAAAAAAAGTTAAAACTAATTTGGCGTATCATTAAGTCCCCTAATCCTTTGAACATTATATAAGATATATGTTGATCCTAACGAGGAAAATTGTAATCAAAGTTCTTTGATCAAATATAGGGCTGTTATATGCGAAAAGAGACCAATCAACTTACAGTAACATAAAAGACTCGAGCTAATATCTTCATAAATTTTATATGATTAATATGTACAAGTGTCGAAACGATTTTACTCCAATCGCAGGGTCGGCCCTGGCCGGGGCAGGACGGGCGCTCACCCAGAGCCCATAATATTTTCTATAGTATAATTTTGAAAACTTACATATTTCTTTTATTTCGTCCCGGGCAAAAAATTAAAGAACATATATAAGACCCATTTTTTTTATTTCGTCCCGGGTCAAAAAATACCCTGAGCCGACCCTGTCCAATCAGTATAATCGTAAAGTGGTTTATTATTTTTATGTTAACTATTCAGAACCTTGGTGATGCAGAGCATGCTTTTGATCCAGCATATTCAAAAGCATTGGCTCGAGTCTGTTTCTAGCTGTTATAGGTTTGACATTAATGTACCATTTGATTCGAAGTCCACTCACCCAGAGCGATGATGAAGCGATAGAGCTTGATATATTCGTCTTAGTGTCGCCGAGTCGATTGCTATTGCAGGTCTTGAGGCCCATACAAGCAATCAGATCACTTGAAATCATATTTACAGGTTTTCTCTTTATTTTGTTATCGAAAGAGCCAATAGGGATGCGTTTTGGATTGTGCTGAAATGATAGATGAAGTAAGAATGCTCTTGGTACAGCTATGGTTACCATAGGTTTGCATTCAAGCTTTCTTATGTGTTGATTTTATTGCAAGTTTGCAATAAATTCGGTTACGTTTTGGGCAAGGCGGAGATCGAGCACTACAATACTCGATAACAACCCCGATCTTAATGACGGAACAGGGAAGGTTCAGTACTTAATCCCAGCAATTGCCTCATGTATCCATAGATTTTATCCGCAAAAATGCAGATAGTTAGGTCTAAGATCGTCGACGGAACTGAACATTTTAGCTCAACCCATCATTTCAGGAGCTTGCCTTTGCCTCCTCAAGATGAAGAAATGCATGCAGAGATATGATGGGATTGAAATCGACTGCAGAGGTAACCAGATTTCGGTTTCGCGTTTCGATTTCGCAAATCAGATTCGAGCCAACCTAAACATTACCTCATTAGCTAACAAAAGCTAAATCATTCTCCATATCGGTAAGCATGCGAAAGCTAACTTGTTGTTGAAGCTATCTTGATTAGAACATAATAACACTAGTATTTAGAAACAGAGATTGGTATCTATTGTGCCAAAGCACTTGTGTTGTAAACCAGAAGAGCTCCTCCGGCGAGAATTCCGGCTAGGGTAACCGCCCATATCGCCAACCCGGTTTTCCCTGCAACATTGTTTTACACAACTTTTATTAGTTCCAATTATCATGCTCGGATATCGATTATCTCGAAAGTCTAAACCGAGAAAAGTTAATCATACCGCCGGTGTAAACATCCCCGGTGGGAGACCAGTCATTGGGGTCGTAGATAGGGCTGTAGCCATCGACATTCGCACCATACTTTTTAACAAACTGGTAAACACCCTTTCCCTACATGACAAGGTAATCGATCATTCGATCGGACACCGAGAAATTTATATCCACCCTTTCCCTACATGACAAGGTAATCGATCATTCGATCGGACACCGAGAAATTTATATCCGAATTCAGATTAATCAAATTCGGGTCGAACTCTAAACAGAAAAACAGGAAAAACAGAGAACAAGTGAGGCAATACTAACCTTAGCTCTTCTCCCAGAAGCATCAACACCGTCCTTCAACTTCAAGTCGCCATTAATTCCTGCAAAATTCTTTATTTTAACATTCGAAAACTACAAATATTATATAGATATGTAGATAGATTTGTAAGTAATTACCGTAAGGCTTGTTCGTGTTGATCTTCCTCGCGGCTTTACTGGCTTCAACCTTGAACGAAGAAGGAACCCTAGCATGTGAATGCACATCACCACCTCTCCTAAACCCTGGATTCTTCTCGAAGCTACTGAAACTCGGTTTAAGACTCACTGATGCCATAACCGAGGCAGCCATTGTTTTCTCAGATCAAAGACCAACTCACTCGGCGAATCGGAACAAACGGTATTCACCTTCTACAAGGTGCATGATCAATCTATATACTGTATTAAAGACGAAGATAGTGATTGTCATCATGACACGTGGCACGTGTACATGTATAATACACCCTTTGATTTGACTGATCCTTCACTCTTGAATCTTCCATTGTTTCTTTTAACAGATCAACAAGGCTGAGGAACCCTCAAGATATATCCAGAATCAAACTATCATGATTAGACGCGCACTAAGTTATAAGCTTTTTTCTTCTTCTTTTTAGTGTAAACTACGCATTTAGTACATCAATTTTAGTTTATTTTAGTATTTAAATTTTTTATTTTTTTAAATCATACATAATATTTAATTTTTATTTTATTTTAATACCTACCATTAAAAATTTAATACATTTAGTACCTAAACTATCAAATTTGGTTCATTTTAATACTTAAACTTTTAATTTTTTTAAAAACTTAACATTAAATTTTGAACAAAATATTAAAAACAAAAACTAAACTTTATGTATGATTTTGAAAAAAATTAAAAGTTTAGATACTAGAACGAATCAAAACTGATAGTTTAGATACTAACACATAATATACCCTTCTTTTAGTGTAGATATCATATTGCACGATCATTGAACTTTGAGGACTAAACGTGATATTTACCATTTACCTTATAAAGGAAGGTGTAGTAAAGTTGAATTCGTAAAAGGCAAACGGGGTGTGAATAGAGCTGTTGAAAATTACTCAAGGTGAAAGTTTTATACTGACAACTATGGGACCAATTTGTTTAATTTAAAATAATAAAAAACCTATTTGACTTAACACGAGTTCCTTTATTTTGTATTTTTTATCATTTGATTTTGTAATCATTTTTTAATATCTCGTAATGATAAATTAATTATTGTTAAAAAACATTAATGTGATATGTTAATGTTTAATGTTTGCAATTAACCAAATTAAATTTTTTGTTGAACGGAATGGTCAATGATTAGTTTTAATAATTAAAAAAAATCTTTGTTTGATATGAAAATTGATATAATTTAACTATAAATTCATCAATGATTAATAGCGGTAATAACAAAAATTTAATTTTTATATCTATTATATTTTTTATTTAGTGAAAAGTTAACTATTTTTCAAAAGTTTTAAGGATCACATATGCCCCGGGTAATAAATCTAATTTATCAATGTCGTTTCTATCGTTTTTTGTATTGATTTAGTTCTCGAAATTATTTAGGGTATTCATCATAGCCTTCGAAGTTCGTTGATTGTTTTGACTAACAAAATCATTAGTCTTTTGTGTTTTTCAACAACAACAATTTTCAAATCAACGAATTTTATTGACGTGACTTGATGATAAAATGACATTTATCAATAAATAAATAATAAAATATTTACTAAATACAATAGTTAAAAAAAATCTCAAAAATTTGACTTAACCCCTTAACATTAAATAAATGATAAAATTTTAGGAATTTGTTATAACCGTTGTGTTTAATAAATATTTTAACTTAATCCCTTAATTCATATCGTCAAAGACTCAGTTCTGTAAACAAAAACAGTCAACGAATTTCGAGGCATATAATAAATATTTTGAAAATTTCGAGGATTAAACTGATAGAAAAAATATAATAAAGATTAAAATGATAAATTGAATTTAATATAATGATGAAAATAACTCTTTAAGCTTTTTTAAAACCAGTATAAAATGAAATGAAGAATGAACAGAAATGCAAAAGCTTATAACTTTGAAAGGTTTTAGGTTTTTATTTGTAGGTATGTAGAAAATTTTGGTTTGGAAACTCATTTATCAAAATTAGATATACAATTTAGATCGATTCAAATGAATTAAAACGAAAGAAGGGGGAGGTAAAAAATTCAACGGGAAAATGTTTATCAATGAACTCATTAATGAAGATTGTGTGTGTGTGTGTGTGTTTAAATGAATTATGAATTAATAAAATAAAACAGGAGTCAGATTTGGGCAACTACCAACGCTCAACACGTAAATATAGAAGCGTAATACTTTCACCTCCTTCATGGACTTTGGATTCTCTCTTCCTTAATCGTCTCTCCAACAACTCCTCCTGCATCTCCCTAGCTTTCATCAGGTCAAGTCAATTCCCCAAATTTGTGTTAATTTTCTGATTATTTTTCAGTTCTCTCTCTGGGTTTTTATCCCGATGATCAATTAATTTCCCGTCTGGGTTTTTCTTCTAATTTATTTTTCGTCATCTTTAACTGATATGCTGATCTGGATTTTGTTTCCTGCCCTTTTTTTTTGTTATTTTGCTTGAACTTGGTTTAATTGGTTCATTAGTGGTAATGGTTTTGACGGGTACTTTTTTTTTTCCTATTTTATTAAAATTTTCTGCTATAATTTCCTTTCTCTTTGATATTTAACGGCTAGATGAACATAACTTGTGCATTTAGATCAAATTTAGTTTGAATCCAGGTGGTACTTATTTATTTTATTTTTTAATGGCTGCATTCTCTTTGTAGGTTTAAGGTGTTGCTAATTGCTTATTAGGGATTTGATACACCACTGTTCGTTTTAGTGGTGCTATTAGTTTTGTTGAATTGATTATTGAGTTCATACTTTTTGCAATTTAGTCGATTGCTAGAATTTCGTAGTGAGTTAGGATTGACGACTCTGAATTAGGTTTCAGATTTCTAGTTTCACTAGTAAGCCTTACTGGGATTCTAATTTGAGTAAGAATCAAAGCTTTCAAAGTTGCATTTGATTCTATGAGCCAATGAGTTCATAATATTCGCTGAATTTCCAGAATTCAACAAGCTTTTGGGAATTTAATATGACTTGTTAAGTCAGTGATGAATGAAATTGTTTGTATATGATGATATAGCGTCCAATATATAATTTAGGAACTTCAACTAATTGATTTTTTAAAAGGTATAATATCCGTGATACGATAACAATAGCTCGTTATGTGCATCAGAGTGACCCTTCGTTGTGCACTATAGAAGTCAATGCTAATTGCTACCTTCTGAAAACTCGAGTTTCTTAAGCTTTTTTTTAATGAATTTACTAGATTTATCAATTGTTATTGATTAGAAATATATAGAGAGAGAACATCATCACTTTAGAGACTGTCATTGTCCGTTTTTTTGTCTTTATAATGAATAAACCCCTTGCATTATTTGATTAAACTATAATCATTGTAAAGAAATCGAAGTTGTGATAGTAAATTCATTGATAATGCCATCCTAGGTCCCCGAATTTGGAAGATACTCCAGAAACCATTGGCTGCTTGATATTGCATTTTTTTCTTCGTGTTTTCGAGTCACCTGCATCATTTTCCAACATACACTGAAATTCAGTGTGTTAGTTCTAATTTTGGCACAGGCAGTCTATGGATGACTGCTCCATGCCTGCCTTAGTGGTTTTTGTTATTTGATTCCACTGTTTTATGAGCATGAAACTAAGATCTTCTGACTGGTTTCCTTTTGGCAGGTCTGAAACTGCTCTGATTCAAAACATTGATCAAATATATAGGAAAAATTGTCAGTGATGTGTCGTAAAGTTATGACTTGGTTTTTTTTTATTTCGTGGATGCAAAGATTCATCAAAAAACCATTCTTTGGGGTTGATGAAGGTAATTCAGAAGCCTTCTAATACTTGGAAAATCTTTTATGTTGTCATGTTCAGCTTAATGAAGTAAACATCCTAATCTGCCATCTTTTTTTCTTTTCCGAGTAGAGTTTGATGTTCACAACGTAAAGTTTTACACATACAAAGAATTAAGAATTGCTACTGAAGATTTTAGCCCAGTCAATAAGATTGGTGAAGGAGGTTTGGTTCTGTCTATAAGGTATATATGATGTTTCAATATATCGAGCATTGCTTGCTTGACCCTTTGATTTCTTGTCATCATTCTGTAAAAGGAACCTCCTTAGTTATCATTACTGATTTTCAGGGGCGGCTTAAAAATGGAAAGATTGCTGCCATAAAGGTTCTTTCAGCCGAATCAAGACAGGGAGCGAAAGAATTCGTGACAGAGATTAAGGTGATCTCCGAAATTCAGCATGAAAATTTAGTCAAGCTCTATGGCTGTTGTGTGGAAGATAATCACAGAATCTTGGTCTATAACTACCTCGAGAATAATAGCCTTTGCCAGACTCTTCTCGGTATTGTTTCAATCTTGTTCTATGCTTTTAAAGTTAGGTTTAGTAAATTTGAGGGTATTTTTCATATCATAATACATATAGTAAAACTATACATATATATATGTGAAATGACCATCCAGCTCAGTTGGTAGAGCACAAGGTTCTTAATCTTGAGGTCGTGGGATCGAGTCCCATGGAGGACATTTCATAATTTGGAGGTCTCCTACGGAAGCTGTTCTCAACCTAGTGTTGGGGGCAGCCTACTATCTTACCTCCCCCTTACCCCATACATATGGGAACAAGGGACATCCTATACATATATATATGTATGTATGATGTATCCAGTGTAAATCACATTGAAACTAATAGCAGTTGAGCCCTTTTCTTTTACAGGTAGTGGTCACAGTAATATCCAGTTTAATTGGAAGACACGGTCCAAAATATGTATCGGGATTGCACGTGGGCTTGCTTTCCTTCATGAGGAAGTAAAGCCATACATTGTTCATAGAGATATCAAAGCAAGCAATATTCTTCTCGACAGGGACCTAACACCCAAAATATCAGATTTCGGATTGGCGAAGCTTATTCCAGCAAACATGACCCACGTTAGCACTCGTGTGGCTGGAACAATGTAAGGCTCCAATATTCCTTTTATTCCTTCAATTTAACGGTACTTCAAATGTATTTTTAGTTTGAACTGGTGGTTAATACAATATTTCCATCCAAGTCACAATGTTTTGGTGTAAAAGCAGTAGCAATACCAGATTTCTATGTTACTTGAATTTGGGTGCGAGTGTCGGATACATGTATGTCTCCGACACGCGACATGGTTATATTCATTTTTTCCTAAGATTTTCATATATTTGGAGGGTCATATGTTCACACC